TCTTGTTGATAAGATTGGAGAGGGAGTTTAAGAAAAACTTGAATTATGGAGGTCATCCTTAGAGTCTAAAAGTTTTTGTTTGAGTAGATCTAAAATCTAATACATGAAGTGTAATTTTAGTAATAATAGTTCTAGTGGTGGGATTGTTACTTTGGGCAATCAAGTCATTAATAAAAATACGTGTTTTAGATATCTTTGGTCTATTGTTCAAAGTGATGGTGAAATAGTTGGGGATATTAGTAGTAGAATTCAAGTTGGATGGTTGAAGTGGAGGAATGCATCAAGCTTGTTGTGAGATAGAAAAGTACCCCTCAAACTTAAGGGAAAATTTTATAAGATGATGAGGAGACCTGCAATGTTTTATGGCGCATAATGTTGGCCATTAATAGGGAAGCATAAATTTAAGTTAAGTGTTGTAGAGATGAGGAAGCTCAGGTGGATTAGTCGTTTCACTTTTAGAGATAGTGTGAAATAAGTATATATGTGAAAAGATTTGAGTGGCAACAGTGGCTGATAAGATTACAGTGTTAAAACATTATTTTATATATTCATATTATATGTAGGTTATATTCTGGGTATCAGAACTCAAAGAAGTTGGATGTATAATCGATTGGCGCAAGACCGAAAGACATTAACGGATGATTTCAATAAAGGGGTGAATTTTTTCATTCATATAGCTTCTCAATTGCCCAGCTTCATCTCAGATGGAAAGCTTCGTTGCCCATGTTTTAAACATAAAAATCAGGTGCACCTAAACCCAAATGACATAATTGTTGATCTATATCGTCGAGGCTTCATGCCAGAATATTGATATTGGACTTTTCATGGTGAGTATGAACCACAATTCGATTCTCAATGAGGCCCGTCGACAAGTTATAATTTAGCTGAGGAAGAAAATATCCGACCTGATTTTGAGGATTTAGTTCATGATGCAACTGGAGCATAATTTGAACAATATACATAAGAGTCGCCTAATAAGGAGACACAAATTTTTTATGATTTGTTGCATTCTTCCTAACAACCAATATGAAAGGGGTGCACTACTCACTCAGAGTTATCAATTACTGTTAAAATATTAAGCATCAAGGTAGAATATAATGTACCCCGTGAATGTTTTAATCAATTCATTAGACTGCTTAAAGATACCAACCCGACAGATAATATTATTCCTACAAATTTATATCGGACTAAGAAGTTGATTTCCAAGCTTGCTTTGACATATACAAAGATATATTGTTGTGTATAGATGCATGTCATTCTATAAAGATGATCAATCAAGAGTATTTATATACCCAACAGATAGTTTCCCTTACAGTCAAGCTAGAGCAGGTAAGGAAATCACAAACTGACTGGCAGATGCAGATACAACAGCAAATGGAGATGCAACAGCAGATGCAGATGCAACAAACTCAATTTTTAGAGGAAATGCTAAAGATAAGGGAGCAGATGAGTGGGAGGACAGCATCAAGAGAGGAGGGAGAGGAGGAGACTGAATCAGAGTAGATGTTATTTATTTTAATGACGTGGACATCTGTAATTGTGTATTTGTGGACATGTTTACTTGATTATTTTATGGACATATGAACTTGTTTATTGTTAGATATTTGTTGATGTTTACTAATGATATTATTCTTGTTTTTGTTAACGAGTGTATGTTTGATGATGTTCTTTGATTAGAGCTGGATGTGTTTGTTGTTGAGTATATATTTTAATATATATTGTATTACATTTTTTACTATGCAGGTTTGTGGAAATCAGTTTTAGAAGTCAAGTGATAATTTGTTTTTCTTTCTGCTACATATTTCCGGCAAAATATTATTTGCCGGAACGACCACCAGACAAACGATACGACAAAAGTGGATCGTCATTTCCGACGTATGATTTCGCTGGAAGTACCGGCGGATATACCACCGGCATTCCGTCGATAATAGTGCGACGACTAAAGGCGGCAGATTCTCCGCCGGTTTTACCGGCGTAAGTTATCTGCCGGAAATACAGGAGGAATAATCGCAGGAATTCACTACCTCAGAAAACGATTATTTCTAAAATTTTTGCGTCGGAAACGCCGCCGGAATCATTTCTGGATGAAACATACCATCGGTTTCGATTTTCTGATGCGCGAATTACCATCGAACTAGTTTTAGCCTGTATTTCGCCTGAAAGGTAGAATTTCCGGAAGATTTACTCTGTTACCTACGGATTTGATACACTGGTAACAGAACCGCCGGTAATAGCGTGTTTTTTGTAGTGTAAGGATTAAATGGTTCAACGTATAACTGCTATTTCACCAACCGAATCATCTATTTAGTATTTGTTATCGGACATGATTTGGGCAGCGTCGCGCATAATGTTTGGGTGTTAGTTGCTGATTTTGATCTTTTTTTCTCGATTCGGCTGCGAGATGTCCTCCTGATGGGGGCAGTGGAGTAACCTAAAGAATTGTGAATATGATTTAAAACTCTCTCAATTCTTAAACAATACTTAGGTTTTCTTTAATATACAAAATTATAAAAATCCCACTTACTATACACAAGTATACCTACCGAATCAAGTAATATAATAATAGAGTAGAGTATCAATCCCACGAGGAAGAATGTTTCCTGCAAATACTAATATTGTCTGCTTCAACCACAACTCAATAAAAAGAAGGTTTAGTGGAGATTCAATCACTTCAGTAAAATCAATAACATAGTAAAAAATACACTTATATGAATAAAATCTTTTGGATTGATAAAATATAAAATTAATATGTTTTCTACTAATTTTCTTAATAAATGTGATATTATTCAGAGTATAAGCATCATTGTTCGCAAAGTCAAGCACAAAGAGACAAAGGACGGGTTTAATGCATTCCACTCTTAATAACATTTTAAACTCCTATAGTCTGTCATCCTATGAAAATCTTAGAAGAGTAAGTAAAGCATGTACTGTTAATCATCCCCTCATGATAATCCATCTGTTTAAATTTGATAGATGACAAGGACTATGCCTATGCTTGCATCATACCAATCAAACATACTTGGTTGTGTCTGCTTTCCTATTCTTAGACTTCACATTACATCAGATATTAACTATACATATGGCTACTATGTGCATTAAAAGAAGACCTGGTATAATAAAAACATTGTATCATTAATTTAAAGATTAAGAGAAACGATTAGTATTCCCTATTTAATTTATACCATCAATCCAAAATTTTGGGAATTAGCCAGCCATGAGAACAATTGGAGCAAACTCGTTTCATTAATAACATACAAGAAAGAAAGCACAAATGAAAAGATGTCACCATATGGTTCAACGTTCTCCTCTACACTCCTCTTTGAACTTACAAAATTACATTCACAAACACTGATCAAATACTCTAAAGATGTGAATCTAGGGCTCCTTGAATTCCCTTAGTGGTCACTCCTATGAAAATTTTACAGAGACTCTGAAGTCTGAATTTTACTAAGTGACTGAAATCCCCTACTAACATTACAGACATACTATTTATAGAAAAATATAGAAAACGGATTTTGGCGCAGTGGCGCTCGAGATAGTTGTGTTGTGGTGCCCAAAAAATGAACTAACATCGCAACACTGAAGGGGTTTCTTCGCTGTGGCAGCTTGCTGACATGGGCCCACTATTTAATGAATCGACAAGTTGCTTTGCTGGCAAATCGTGGCCTGAATAGTTATGACTGTAACACTATGGAGCTACTGACGTTTGAGCGCTGCAACATCCACGTGGCACTCCTCTGACTTAGTGGCGTTATACAGAAAAAATTGGGCTTTGTAGTGCTAACTTCTCCGACGTTACGGTGTTGTCAAATAGAGATTGGGCATTTCTATGTCCATATTTGGGCGCCCCGGCAGTGTCAATGATGGCGCTGCGACGGTATTGTGTCCGATGTCGCGGCGCTGTACCATACTTAAAAATTTTACTCCTTTTTTGCATTTTCCATCATACAACTAAAATAACACGTTTTCACTGACAAATTAATGCATAAAAATAACATTATTTACACTCATCACCTCCCTTAAATGAATTTGACGTTCTGATCGCAATAGTGCAGTTCGTTTGATAATTAGAGGTTGTTTGAGCACTTTAGTAACGTGTCACCTGCTAAACTGTCGTCTTCATTCGTGCTAATTTGATGAATATATGGAGGTCAACACTTATGTTTTTGTTAGAATTGACTAGTTCATATTATTTGTATCTCCCATACAGTTCAACCACCTTCTACCATAATTAAGCTAGTTAAAGGGTAGGTGACTTCTACGATAGATCCATATGGTAGAGTGGCCTTAGTGCATGAAACTTGATGGTGTTAAAAACATTTGTTAGTGGGTAGTGATGCCAATGTGGAGAGCTTCCACGTTAGAGGGAGATTCTTAAGCTTGAGAGTATTGGGTTTAGTATTAGACCAGATGGATGTAAAATATGTTGGGGTTGAAATTTTATATGATTAGCCCTCACCTATATGCATAAGGTTTTGACTAAAAACAAGTTTTCCATTGGTGTATCTAGCGCTTCCTACACTTTGGTTTTCCTTTGTTGTTATTACTTCCCATAAAAAAGTTCTTATAACTAGATGATACTTAAAAAAATTATTATTGATGAGGAATACAATATAGTCAAGGAATTCTCTCTCTCTCTCTCTCAATTCTTCCTACACGGCTTTGGAGTGCATTTAATATTAGTCACGCTTCCCTTACTCACCTAAGCATCTTTGTAGTTCTTCTAATAAAAGCCTCCTTCCCCTATCAATCAAACAATTTAAATGCAAGCATCATCCTCAACAAAACCAATCCAACACGCAACAATTTTTGACTTTTTTGTCACTGAAATTTTTTGCAAGAAAAATCGGATTTTCGAAAAGGTGTATGGATATGTATGCAGTTAATCATGCAAATTTAAAAATAAAATTCGCATAATTTTGTAGAGAAAATTACATGTATGTGGGCAAGCATGTATATATACAAAAACAAATACAAATAGATTCCAAACAATAACTCACCATCCTAGTATGAAGTCGAGTGCGGTCGTTGTTGCAAAAGCATCTTCGATGGAGCTTGTCAGCGGGGTGAACCAAATACTGTAGATGTTGATGCCAATCTGACCTTTTTGGATGGCCTAATTCAAAAACAAAATGAAGATGTCAAGGTCATTCTAAATGTAGAACAATATGATATTAATTTACATAATTGGTTGATCTAACTATTGAAGATTATTCTACAAGTATCATGCAAAGCCATCAATTTGTGACTTAGACAAAAGCATTGAAACATTGATCACAAGCTCATATGGTACATATTATCAGCAAAATAATAGACTTTATTGATTACGCATCGATATGGCTTTCCACGTTGTTGAACTTCCTTTCAATTCATTCTCTTCCATCATGATTGTGTAATTTAACATCTAATTTGGAAAAAATGGGAGGGAAAAGAGATGAATTAATAAGTATTCCTTTTTTCATTTTAAATTAGAGTTATGAGTTGCAAAGAAGTGAAAACTGGAGTTTCAAGAGAAAGGAAGATTTTCTTTCTTTATGAAATCGGCAGAAATAAAAGAGAGAATCATAATTAATAAAATTTGTAACGACAGCAATGCTACTTATTCTTCTAAAAGAAAAAACATATTCCGTCCTATTCCTAGATATTTCCACGACTCTCAAGAAAGGCATCCACAAGCCCATTTGTGCAGAGGGCCTCCTTAATCACTATAACAACACCTCAGCACTTGCATTATACTTCCATATCTATCCTTCTCCAAACCCTACTCGAACCCTAGTGAAAGCACTATAAATGTAATAGAAAGAAAAAAAAATGAACCTGCTTGCACCGAACCAATTCACTATCAACCAACAAACATGCATCTCTATCTCTTATTATTAGGGTTTGAAGTTGTTCCGACTTGATTTATTTTACAACTAATCAAATAACCTTACATATTTAAAAACAATATATTTAATTTATACTACATTTCAAATGTAAATGTATTTGAAATACTTGCAATCAAAGAGCCACTTAAACATATTTGTTCCGCTCAGAAAAAGAAGGCGTGAACCTCGCTTTCACAAGTTTAAGGTCCTTATTTTTCTGAGGTAGATTGAGTTTTAAATTAACCAGATTTCTATGAGAATAGTGTTAGGGTTTATTAGATCTGAGTCCTACTTCCTATAAGCGCAAGTCCTCATAGTTAATTACCCATTCTAACGCGTAGTAGTGCACTCTCAATTAAGGATGAAATTATGTTTATTATGTGCATGAAGTGCAGATGTGTGTGCAACAGTGTGTGAATGTTCTAAACCCTGGTTATGGGGGATGAAGGTAGACCTGATCAAGATCCCATGGTTCCATCATCCTGGGAATACTGTAGGGTTCAGTCTACCAACACTAGCGACCATTGATCATAGTGTCCAAGGAATCTGATTAGCAACCATGAATTACCTCCTCTTAGGAATCCCAAGTAAACTGAAGTGGATATATATTCGTTATTTACTTTGGTTAGGGACTTATGACTATAGTTAGAAGTTGCCCATAATTTAAATTTGAATAAGGTTTTACAACCCCGTTTAGCATTTGCCCGTAATTTGGATTTGGATCGAAGCTTATGACTTTCATTTAAAAGTAGCCGTGTGATTGGATTAGGGTAGGGGATTACGGCTTTCATTTGAATGTAGCCCTAATGGCTGGTATTACAACTTAACCTTATAGGCTAAGATGCCCATATAGTGGGGCTTACAACCTAGCTCCATAGACTAGTATGCCCATTAGAGGGGTCTAAGATTATGTTATTAACTTGACATTTTCCCTTCAAAGTCAAACTTACGGCTTTTATTGAAAGTGACCAGGAGAATTTCAGGTATTTATCACTTCACGTAATGGATATACTTAATGAAATAGTTACCGTAGGATTTACAGCTTCTATTAGAAGTGATCTATAGGGCTTAGATTAGTGAGAACATATCTTTACACACTTTGTCATTTTGACACTAGCATCAGCGTCTTGTTTTGCCAGCCTTGCTTCAGTGCTAGCATGCAGTCATTGCTATTTTGACACTTACTAACTAGTAGTTGTTCTCTACTCTAGCTTTCAGTAGTGTACTGTTTGTTTTATACTTGTAGCGTTTTGCTTTAGCAGTAGTTTTACTCTTTCCATTATTAATTTTATTTATTATGTGTTAACTTTTGTCTTGTTTTCAGGTGCTCGTGATACTTGAAGCAGATTGGAGAGCTTAGAATGTTCAAAGAGCACACAGGCAGATGTTGTTGAGGCTATTGTTGAGAGTGTAGTTTCGAGGGTTTGTTTTGCTAAGAGAGTTATTGTGAGAGCTGCTTAGTTGGAGAGCTGTCGTTTGACAGCCATAGTATGTGCATAGGTTGGATAGTGAAAAACATTGATTTTGCATTTTCTTTCGGTTTGATTTTAGTTGTTTTAATTAATAAATTGAATTAATTAATTAAAGTTTAAGTTTTAATTAAAATTTAATTGTTCAATTTATTAGTTTGAATTTTATATGTATTTTAAAATTATTCAATTATTTAAATTGATTGCTAAAATAATTTGATTTAAAAGTTTAAAATTTATTTAAATGTTTTTCTAATTAAATGTTATTTAATTAAATTTGAGTTTTAATTTAATTAATATTTAAATTAAATAAGATTCTAGTTTGATTTTAAGTTTTAAGTTTTTTTTTCTTTTACTTTCTGTTTTTATCAAATTTTAAATTGAATTTTAAATTTACTTCAAAGTTAATATCTTAGCTTGTGTTAACATTACGTTAAAAAATTCAAAAATTAAATCGGAGACAATTTGAACTCCAATTTCAGCAAACTTACAGTCGAACTGGACATCTCAAAAATACAATCCCAACGTCACCAAATTCAACTCATTCCGAGCCCAAATGGGTCAAAATCGAAAACTTGAAGCATATTTGGAAGGGTCAAACCATAAATTGGATTACCAAACAATTTCCAAACATTACATGTTTATAGTCGATCGAGTGGCTGGACGAGATGAATCCAACGAGCCCAAGATAATCAAATTCTGATATCATTAAGACATTCAAATATCCAATGAATGGTCCATGATTGAGTGATTCAACATCGGTCGTATATTCAAACCACTCCAAATTCACCCTTGATCTTCCTCTTATTTACTGGCCATGCCACTCTCGAAAAACTATAAATAGACCTCTTATTCTTCATTGAAGGGGCGGAGGAAGGGAGCCCAAGCAAGAAGAGAAAGAATAGTTCTCTTGCCACTAGACTCCACAAGTGATTTATTATGAATATTCTAAGTAAAAGTAGGCATATTTCCACCTCATAATTGCTACATTATGATTAAGCCATCGACTGAGTCGAAAACTCACCCCTACATTTGTTGATGAATATTGAATTTATATTTGCATTTTTTTCTTTTCTTTCAACTCAAAGTTAACACGAGATCAAAGGACGGATGAGAACATTTTCTTTCCCTTGAAACTTCCAAAATGAGAAAGAATCTCCATCATTTCTTTTGTTTATTTTTCTTTTCTAACAAGTGCTTACTTTACTTCCACTCAAAGTTGCACCGATACACCTATTTATGAAGGCGTGCTGTATCTGATACACCGATACACAGATACACCTCCGATACTCCACTGATACTTGTCGGATACACCAAAGCTGCATCCAATTAAAATACTATTTAATTTCAAAAGGACAAGCGTATCCGATACGCGTGTCCGTTGAAAAACAAAAAGAAATCCGAAAAAAAAAAGACGCGTCATATTTACTTTCGCGGCTGCGAGCAAGGTTCTCTCATTTTCAAGATGGATTTGAGTCTCTTGATGATATGAGAATATTAGAAATTACTAATCTTTTACTTGATGAGCCTGAATTAGAAGCTATGATATTTATTGAAGATGATATAGAAGTTCAAAGACAAACCACTGAAGAAGCTAATCATATCTTTCATTCTATTGAATAGTTAAAACTTCATGTGCTAGACAATTTATGTTTATGCTTTTGTTGTTGTAGTAGACATTTAATACTTGCTTATAGTTTGATATTATAAGCTACAAGGCTACAAATGATGTTGTTTTCATTTTTTTGTAATTTCAAATATTATGCTTTGATTATTTTCTTTATTTTTATATATGGTTTATAAAATATAATACCGTGTCCGCGCCGTACCCGCATCCTGTATTTTTAAGAATTGACGTGTCCCGTATCCGTATCGTGTCGTATCCGTGTCGCCGTATCCATATCGGTGCAACATAGCTTCCACTACTCCCAATCAACGTGTAATAGTTGGTTCAATTGATTTACCTATGTTTGGATCTTATTAGCTATACCTCAGTGCTAAGTGACCAATTAAAGAAACATGAATAGGACCAAAGATTGACTAAAACTTCCCTCCTTTAAGCTTATTTCCTAAAATTCTCCTTCCTCACCTGAATCTCCTATTACACAACCTCCACCTACTAATTCCCCGTCTATCTCTCTCTAAACTACCCTCTTTGAATCATATCCTCTCTTTCCTTCCCCTTTTCTGGTACTCTATCAATACATTGGATCAGGTCATAACCAATATATAACGATGCTTATATCAATATACAAAGCAGTTTTTATATTAAGCCAGTTGTTGACAATTACCGCAAACATGGACTAAGACAAATTTTATGAAGACTAGTAAAAAATTGATGATTGAATAACTCAAAAGGAAAATTTTAGTCATAAATGAAAAAGAGGAAAAAAAATGAAAAAGAGAAAATTTAGTCATAAATGAAAAAGAAAACTCTTTAGCATAAAAATCCAACCTGATATTTTTGCCTGTAAAGCTGAACTACTGCAGAATGGGCCAATATCATATTATGGGCAGCAATATATGGCTCCACAGTAGAATTGCCTCTAGTACAATTATCACCAAATGGAAATGAACAACGATTGGGAGGGAAATATCCATAATCAAAGGAAGACATTGCATTGATGTTGGGCTCATTCATGGTGGTCCAGTATGAAACCCTATCACCAAATTCTCTAAAGCAGACATCAGCAAGTTCCTTGAAATCATCACTGTGAAATGTATTGAGGTACTTAGAAATACCGGCCACATTCTTATCAATAAACAGTAATGTATAAAACATGAACATTTACATGAATTTTCGGCTTAGCCACCCCCCATACTCATCTTGAAGCACTTGAGGAATATCCAAATGATGCAGAGTGACATGAGGCTGGATACCTGTTTCATTTGAAGACAATAAATGATAAAATCAGTCAAGATCTAACTTTAGGAAGATAAAAAAAAAAGAGTGGTGATTTTTCGTTATAATAATTAATGATGATCTCTCATTTACTGTGAATACGAACCTAGATTTTTGAAAAGAAATTTTGACAGCTGGAAGTTTAGCTTAAAAGGCTAAATTTTACTGAGTCAAAGTTCTTTCTCATCACAAGAGAAATTGAGTTTGACAGTTCAACGTATGTAACTTGGCATCTTGCGTAACAGAAACTTTCAAAGTGCCAAAAATATCAAAGCATACCATGCTTGATTAGCTCATCGATGACGTTGTTGTAATACTCCAATCCTTTAGGATTCACTGGTCCTCTCCCTTCTGTACAATATGATCATACATTAAAACAAAATACTTCAGCATACGTATCTGCAAGTTCATCTTAACAGGTTCTAAAATTAAAAATGAATGACTAAACACTCATCTATAGATTAGAATCAAACAGCAATATATGTTTTTCATGCATACACTCAAAAAGAGGGATATTTTGGTCATTTTAAGAGCAAATAATTTATCATAGGTAATGAACAATTCAAAAATGTTACTTTTATATAATTAATCATACCATTTATCAAAATCAGAAGTTTCTAAATGAAAATTTTAGAAAACTAATATGGTTTCCATGCTTTGTCAACAGATTAGCCGGCCACAAATAGATGGAATAAGACCGAGAAAAGGCTCATGATGAGGCCAGTTCACCTAATTAAGCACACAGTAAATTATTTTAGTGAAATGCGACATGTACCGGACTAATTTCACCTTTTCAAAAGAAGCTAAAAGGTCATTAATGTAAACAGTTTAAAGAATTAAACAGCTGAATATGTACTTTTAGGCAAATTGAAGGTAATTATGGGATTTATAATCAGTGATATAAACCAAAAATCCGTCTACAGCGTTATTCATCCACAACATACTTGGTAAGAGCCTTGGCCAAGAGATGGATAATCTATAAGCTTCAAGCCCAGTATCACTCATGAGAGTGATGTCTCCCTGCAAAATTTTGAGATATCAAGTTAGTGCATGAGACAATATGACTGCCATTAAATAGCAAGAAAAATAATCATGTAGTAACTAAAGCATACTCTGCACCCTAAAAAAGAACTCAAGCACCTTATTTTGCACGGTTGTTATTACATTTGTTGCAATTTCTAAGAAAAAAATTGAATGTTTATCTCATTTTTTAGAAAGGTTGACATTATCCTTCGTGCTTAAATTTGTTTCATTAGTGTAGGGTCTCCCTCATAAGACCTTCGTAAGTGGATTTCTATTGACTTAGATTTGGCTAACCATAGAAAATTTAAAACCATAGGGTCCTTCCCTATAGGAGGACCATTGAGATCCTCAAGCTAGGTTAACCCTAATTTAACCTAGGTAGTATCCAGGACCCTTAGGAAGCCAACCCTAGACCCCTTATGTCTATTAGAAGCTCTTAGCTTGAGTAAGTGTGAGAAGCATTCCTCATATAAATTTCATGGCAGGGAAAGCATACCTTGTATTTGTGATAACCATCAGAAGCCACATCAGTAATGCTTTCACCAACCAACCCTGAAAAGCAATTCATTCAGCTAGACTACCACAGAATTTAGGTTTTTCTCTCTCTTTTTTTTTTTTTTTGAACTTTTTTATGGTAAATGTCAATTCCATATGAATAGACCACTCTTTTCATTTCACCATACCACTAAATTTTTAGTTCAAATGAACATGCATGCTAATGTATCAATAACTTGTACATTAGCAATTACGGTTTATTCATAATTAGTATAAAAACCTTGATATTAAGGAGAATGGAGAATCACCTGCGTGTGTGAAAGTATCCCAGATACTCGGGGTCTTTCCATCCTCAGCCCAAGCACCCTCATACTGCAAAAAATGTGCAATGCATTATAAAAATCTCTGCAAGTTAAAAGTATGTAAATGAGAAGACAAAAATACATGCGAATCTGAAGCATGAAGAACGTTGTTGGGTGCATTTCCATGCACTGCCGTATGATGGGTAAATTGAACAAGGATTAAACTGTACTTGGCCTACTATGGAGTAACTTGAAAAGTTAATAAACCTTTTATCTAAAAGCATACATTCATTCATTAATAATCATGAGAATAATAACTCATAAAACCAATCTTCCTATGCTATTTCAGTTCATGTCAGGAGGCTTCAACAAGGTACTAGATGATACTATTAGACACGATTTTGTCTATGGCTGACACCTGATCTTACTAGTAAGAAATCTTGAGATGAGAGTTGAGGGAGCCAATTAAGTTTTAGGTAAGCATGGAGATTATATATGTTACGAGTTCTATGAGAGAATAATGGGGAATCTAGAGAAAAAAATGGAAAGTCGAAAATCAGAACAGCCATAAAGATTCAAAAGGTCGAAAAAGTCTAAAGTATTCCCCTTTACCCTTTGTTTATAGGGAGTTGAAGGCCATATGAAAAGCCACACATAAGAAAATGGAAAATAGTACAAAGTGCAGCAAAAGATGTGACTCATTACAAACTCTCATTGATACATAACTTAGCCTAATATCATAGTTTAAAATTGCGCAATAAGAGGCGCGCCTCTGCGCAATTTGCTCCAAATCAGCCTCAAAGCCTAAGTAATTTTTAGGCTTCACGAGGCGTACGCCTCAAGTAGATTGAGGCGCGCCTCAATAGCCCTGTTGCGCAATTTCATATGAGGTGTATGCCTCTAATTTGGGGGCCCACTCACTTAAAAAAAACCCTCTTCTCTTCTTCCTTATACCCGCTTACCCAAAGACCTGAACCAAAGTCGCGCAGGAAGCATGCAGACGACGCACGATCCGGCTCTCCCGCACGATTCCGCCGCCTCTCCCGCCGGCACTGCCTCTCACCGGTGAGGCTCTTGTTTCCGGACAAGAACATCAGGGATTTAGTGATTCCACCCCTGAGTTATAGTGTTTTGCAATTAGAGTTTTGGGCCTCACTTGTTCCTCCTCTGGGTGTGAGCAAAACTGGAGCACATATATTCAAGTACAAATGAAGAGAATAAATTGACTTTCAACACTCAAAATGAACTCCCTTATGTATATTATACAGAATAAGAGGTTGAGAGATAAAAGGTTGAGGAACAAGAGGTTGAAGGATGATGAGAACCCTTTGGTGTGTGATAATGTGACGTCTGATAATGAGTGGTTCATAGATGATGAGATAGATTTACCATTATCAGATCTGCAGCTAGAGGAACTAAGTGTGAATGTCTTGAGGGGTGAAGAAAATCAAGCGGGCACATCCACTAGTACCACACCACACACATCCACTAGTACTATAGCACAACAAGCAAACAAAGGTATCTCACAATTTTTTATATGCTATTACATTTTAAATATATGCAATTAACAACACACTAATCATTCATATTGAACAGGGAAGAGAAAAGTGGGTAACATTGAAAATGATGAAGATTTAACATTCATAGATATAATTAGAGATGAAGATGCCTCCCTTATAAACCCATTTAATGATGGGACATGATTGGATTTTAAATGTTCTTTCTTATTTGTACTTTGGGAGTTTTGATATATTTATATTTGTGATTTTGTACTTTTAATTATACTATGAGATGCATATATTACATCTATTTTATTGTTTTTCACTAATTTAACTTCTCATTTAGATATTTTTATTTTATGATAGACTCTTACTGTTATTTATCTGTTAAAATACTTAAATTCTTATTTACGCAATTCTTCGTACATGAGGCATACGCCTCGCATCACGGACAAAAAACACCTCAAAGCTTATTTACGCAATTTTAAACCTTGTTAGTGGTTTCTAGAAACTCGCAAGCAAGGCAACAAGTATCCTTTTGAATTGAGCCTATGAAGTGATCAAGCCTAACAGTACGCGACTGAACCTCTTAAGGGCCGACTCATTAAAGGCTGTAAAAAACAACAAGCACTTCAAAGCATTATCTACGTCAACAAGCAAAGTTGCCAACACAAAGTAAGCAACATGATCAACGAGGCCGATCCTTCTCCAATAAGCTTCCAAATTAGGCATCTCTAATTTTGGAGGTAGTCTTGTCTTGACTAACTGCCTAGAAAAAAGTGTTGGTTAGCTGAGTTCCGTTCTCCTTATCTTCTGAGGCGGGTAGTATTCTTCATCACTAAAAAAGGTGCAAGTGCGGACTACGTTGGGCATTGAGGTGAGCACCCTTGTTTTCGGACTTCTGCAGCAAATTGTTGGGCCAAAGGATCCTTTGAGTGTGTTCTTTATTGGAGTGTTTCTTTGTATTCTTCTTAATGCATCTTGGATCCTTTTTGTGAGTCTTTTCTCTATCTCCATCAAATCACGATCAGTGGTGTACGTGGGGTTCTCAATGTTTACCAAAGGCTTGAGGTTGTTTTGCTCTTCAAGGTGAGCTTCTCTTCTAGTCACGAGCATCGATCCACATTTACAGCACCTTCAAGGATATTGGATTTGATTTTTTTCTATAAATAACACCTGACCTTACTTGCAAGCAACCTTGAGGTGAGAGTTAGGGGAGCTGAGTGGGTTTCAAGTTAGTATGGAGAGCATATATGTTGTGGGTTATATGAGAAAATAATGGGGAATCTAGGAAAAGAACTAGAAAGTAGAAAATCAAAACTTCCACAAAGACTTAAGAAGATGTCAAGGGTCCAAAAATATCTCAAGTATGCCCTTCATTCTTTAGTTATTGTGTATTAAGGGCTGCATGAAAAATTACACCTTAAAATAGTACAAAGTACAACATATGATGTAACTCATTATAGACTAACATGTATACATGGCTTAGCTAATCACCCCCAACACGGATCTCTACTTATAATATGACTTTAGGTCCCGAGGAAAGTCCTCTAGGCTAGTCTTCATGTGCAAGTATAAAGAGCAAGTCATCATGCCTCAATGTATGAGGCGGTCCCATGGAATTGAACCCTTTGGAAGTGGTGGCGAGTTCATCTTAGGAGAAATTTTGACCACTAAAAGCAAAGGACAAGTTCCCTTGGTAGCGAGAGGTTGAAGACTAAGGACCATCTGAATGAAGAAGAAATTGTAATTATAGCATTTGAGGTGCTCAAATTCCTATAATTGGGATGATGATGTCGAGGGTTATCAAGTGACTCTAGCAATGACGAATGTCTGTGGATGAAGAACTCCTGCTATGACGAGTGACATCTGTAGCTCGAAGCGATCTGGATGAGTGACAATTCTAGTGGGTTGTGGCAATTGCTTGGAATGACCAGTTGAGGTATTTACCTATGATGGCCATGCTGGGAGAGTGACCACCTTTCAACAAAATGGTGCCCACTAGTTTGTTCGCCAACTTCTTTTCTTCAAGGCGAGTACTACTAGGAAATGTGATCGTTTAAGCTAAGTCCCATTCAAGGATCTTTTGGATACCTGTGTACTATCCTCATAGGCATATATGAATACACCAATAATTTACCAGGACATAAGTGAAATCCATGAGGTCCTGGAAAAAGGGGTTGGGTTGGCCCATGGTGTTTGTCACTACCTTATAAGTGCTTGAGTAATTCTGAACTAGACATTTCAAGTACTTTGAACCCAAACTGATCTGCATGAAGTAAAATGGGGAAAAAGTAAAACCTTCTGCTTGGTATAAACCAGAATAAACCTGTTGGGAACTCAAAACATTCGCACACAGCATCATGGGAAAGCAACAAGCAGGGCAGTCAGGACAACGGGAAAACCGATGGAAACAACAGCGGCGTAGCAAACATATAAAGCCGCAGCAAATCTCTCCGACTAAGACTTCTTACCCCACAAGCAACTACTCAAGTCACAAACCGATAGAAGTGGCTCGATTTAGCATTCCTCCAAACAAAAAAAAATGTAAGATATAAACGTTTCTATGGAGGGTAAACTTTTTTCCATGGGACCAATTGGAAAGGGTTCATGTGATTACGGTACATTTTCGAAAGCATGATGAGGTTGTATTCTTCCAGTAGAATTTTTGTATATTTTGCCAAGCAACAGAGTTTATGGATTGGAATCCATTACGCTTATCAGCCCTCAAAAGGAAAATAGCCAAAGAAGATAAAAGATAACCTGGAATGCTGAGGTTCCTGCTCCAAAAACGAAATCCAAAGGGAAATCTTCTCTGGTAAACTCCAGCAAGCACAAAACCGATGCATTATGCTCCCAACACAACAGAAGCACCGGTAAAACCATCACCATGACCTTTCTTATCTCGCTCTTCCAAACCATTTTGGGTAACAATGTAGCTACAGTCCTGCTCGGAGCTTTCTCGCTCTCTTCAAGCTGTAGCCTAAAATTAATTAGGTAAAGGTTTGATTACTAGCATTTAATGATGATATTTAAGAAGGAGCGCGAAAAAAAAAAATGCAAAACAGAAAAATTAATTTCTAATTTTTAAACTAAAAACGTTTTGTTGAAAGCGTTTTAATAAAAACATTTTTTTTAGCATTCTCATAGAAAACACTTCAGTTTTTACTCGACGACTATTAAGTGGGCTGAAAAAATGTAATATAAAAGAAATTCTAAAATGAATATTTTAGAGTAATTTAGATGAATATAAAATGAATACATGAGGTTTTTTTTTTTTGAAGTAAAATAAATGCATTGTAAAGTAAAGAGATTGTGATGATCGGTGGTGGTGGCGGCCAGAGGCAATGGGCCTCCAACGGCGATGGTGGGTGGCGTTCGACAGTGTTGAATCCCATTTTGCCCGATGGTGTATCTGGCCATATCATATGCCATCGGTAAGTAGAGAGCACGAGAGGAAAATATAGTTAGTATAGAAATGAAGAAAAAGAGATAGAGAAGATAATGGATTATTTGAATATAGACGAAATCTTTATTACCCAGGCCACATATAAATAGTTGGAAAGCTAGAGCTTTAGATTACAGAGAATGAAATAACATCTCTCTTTTTCTCCTCCAGTGGTTCTTCTTTGTGATCTCTCTCTTGTGAGGATGCTCAATTCGAGAATGTTAAAAATCTTCCTCCCCCTCCTCCTCCTGAGGCACCTAATAGGCTATGGTGAGGAACTAGCCATCGGCCCATCAAGCTGTTGCAACTCGGGCTTCTGAGTTTATGATTTTGATGATTATAAATATTATTGATTACCTCTTTATTTCACATAGTATTTGTATAGCATATTTTTTTGTATGTGGATTATCATTTCAGTTACACCATGCACCGTTCTTTGAAGATTCAGGGCTCAAGATGAGATAGAATTGGTTATCCTGAAAAAGTCTATAATTTTTTATTTATTTATTTTTAATTTCTTGAGTAAAAATCCTATAAGGGTGTATGTTAGCTTGGTGCTCGTATACACACACACACACACAAGGGGTGCAAAGCTAATTTTAATTATTTTAATTTTTCTGTACATTATACTGTATGATATGGTTCATACTATAAGACCTGGTGTTACAAAAATTAATTAAAATATTTATTTTTCTTGGAAAAAATATTTTTTAAATATAACTAATCGTACAATACGAACACCACATCATACCGGACAATCTGTTATAATTAGAAAGCATACCGTCTATTAAATTAGGTAAAATTTGAATTTGAAAAGTTATTCTAATCATATTATACAAATCAAATTATATTGTACCATGTTTAAAATATTGTCTAATTTAATTTTGTGATTAGTCAATCGAATCTATTTAATTCTGATATTCTGATCATATTATATGAACTTGATCGTACTATATGATCAACATAGATGATTTTGGTCATACCATAATTCATCATGGACGAACTATATTTTAGTTGAACTAATCGTACTATATGATAGGTCATTTGCACTGATGATTATAAAGTACTAACGGGCAAATTAAACTATTAATGATGTACTAATTAGTGATCGTACAATACTAAAAGGTCAAATCTGCACATCGTAGTGAATGATCCTAAGATCGTACTGTACGATATTTGACAGATGAGATAATTTTTTAGGATTTTTGAAGCCCTCCATTTAAGCTTTCTCCAAAGATATCATAAGTGTCTTTGGCATTAATTGAGTCTTCGTTCTTTTGAAGAAAACTTGAAGAAAGAGTCTTAAAAGGGAGAGAGGAAAGGGTGGAATTTGAGAGGGAGAAGATCCTTGTGGGGTTCTAGGGAGTATGGAGGGGGTTTCACAAGGTTGCTCTAGCAAGCTTGCATCTTAGTACCATCGGATTCAAGGTTTGTCTCGAGAGAAGTTTTGGGAAGTAGAAGATCTCTTTGATGTCAAAGGACCCGATTACTCCGTTGCACTAGAGAAAGTGAAAGTGATTTAAGTTTTTCTTCCTTGCTAGGAGGGTGAAAAGGAGTACAGGTTCTCTGTCTCATTAGAAGGGTGAAAAGAAGTCAAGGTTCTCTACCTATGAAAGGAGTAGGGTCCTCTGCCGCACCAAGTTGGTGGAAGAGAGTTTGTAAGGACTTCTCAGCCTAGTTGTGGGGGCTAAAGGAGATGCACTATAGTGATAGAGTAATACCCAGAGTGGGTGACTCGGGGGTGTGGACGTAGGTCATGATTTGACAGAACCACTACAAAATTTAATGTGTTCTTTCTGATTTTATTTTCTGTAATTTATTTTTTTGCATTTTATTTTCTATTATAACATCTTGGTTGAAAAATTTGTGATTGATATTATGTTCTACTAATAAGATTATTATCACCATCTTTGTCACTTTTGATAGGTGTACTAGCTTTCACATCAAGTGATAGCATTACTTCCATATTAGTGAGCCTTAAGGACAGTTCATTGAGGTCTAACAACCTCCTTGTACTTTCACAAGGGGGGCCTATAGACGAAACTTTCCTAAAATGAGGCACTACTTCCCTAGAATTCATAGAAGCTCGCTTGGAGTAATCATGAGGTGCTTATCACTAAGGCCTACCAAGGAGAGCGCTCTCTATGGGGTGAGCCGTGGATTTCTCATCAGGATAAAAACTCACCACTCACTTGGATCACTGCTTCCGTCTCTCGTTCCTCCTCTGAGTGACCTCAGTCATTCGCTCTCTCTTAGAGCGATTATCTTCCCCTTACTCAATAAGAGAAAAGCATCAACTTATGGAGCCCTTAGCTTACCCTACCATGATTGGTTTACCACTAAACTCATCTTGTTGGCAATCACAAATCATTAACAACTTCTATAGAAATCAAGCTCCTCATCCTCGGAACTTGCTCATAGGTTTGCCTACTCATTGATTTGGGTGCTCCTACTTTTGTGATCAAATATTGCATTAAGAATAGCATATCATCTCCAAATACAAACATTGTGACTAGCTAATGGACTGATATGAAAATACACATGCCATCTCAAGTGATAAATTGGTAAGAAAAATATCATTCCTAGGAGGAAGAAGTTAGCTATTTTTATCAAGTTAAGTACTAATTTTTGTAAATCACTAAATTTATCTTACCACATGTCAAAAAGCATTATCACATAGTAAAAGAAAACTACACTACTTTTAAAAAGGTTTTCTAATTTTATTAAAGCTAGATTTATGGTTGATTTGATATTTCTATTCATACAAAAGTGGTCTACGAAATTCAATTTTGAATCGGAGCAGTAATAAATCCTTATCTCTATTGAGCTCATCATAATCCTAATGAAGTTATTATTATATGTACTCTATGCTAATCACACGTTTGACTATATGGACAACATCTCCTTATTGATCCCAAAACCTTAAAAATGTACATGTTTATGTTTTTAAGATTTTGTTCAAGCTTCTCTATTTATTCCACTACACCTCCATCAATGACATAAATCACATTTGTGAATGATCAAAACATAACTAAATAAAGTTTGGGGAAACATGAAACATTTTTTTGCAATATAAGAGCGTAGACCTAATCTATATTGCACACAACACAAAAATCAAGTCATAAAATTAAAAGATTTCTAGCCTCCAAATTACATTTTAAATAAAATAGAATCCATAACATTCATTTAAATTTTAAATAAAAAAAGTACAAAATTAGAAAGATAGAACCATAAATTCTATGTTATAATCAAGTATTTCCTTCATCTTAAGGGCAGCACCCAATTCTACTTTCACACTCTGTCACTCTAACTACCTGAATTCTATTAAATGTAGGAAAATATGAGAAAGAAGTCTCTCTAACGAGAAAATTTCCCTTATTTACATTTCATGCATAAAATAATTCCCTAATTAACTACAACACCACAATAACCAAAGTGCAACATTGCAGTGTTCCATTATGAATGTAGCACTGCAATGCTGGGAAGATTTGGCATTGTGCCACTCTATATGGATTACTATGATTCTTCATGAATCAACATGTCTCTTTGTATAGGTAATTATACTTGCACACCACTATGGTGTTGGGAAGACTTGGTGTTATGGTGTTAAAGAAAATTGGCAACGTGGTACTGCAACAATGGCACTACGATGTAAGCTCTTTATCTTTAACATCAAAATATACTCTTCAGAGCATTACGACATTAGATTTTTGGCATTGTGGCACTAGATGTTCAGCACTATGATGCCAAGCTCTCTATCTTAGTATTGAAATATGTCTCATGAGGTGCGGATGCACTAGATTCTTTTGCCCTGCAAAGATTGGGCTCTCTATTTGATTACATTGTGGTGCTAAAATGATGGCACTTTCATGCAAGGCTAAAATAATTTTCACATTGTTTCTTTAGAAAATTTCTACACAAAACAAGTTTCACCAACTGTAAGTTATGATGCCATGATTCATTTTTTTAGCATACAGTTTTCAATTTGAAGCTTAACACATAACAACAATGAATTAAACAAGTGCACAATTTGTTAAAAATAAATTTAGTGTAACCAATAATAGTCTAATATTTTATTTCCATTAATTTATCTTTTAAAAAAAAAACCTATAAGTGTACTTTTGAGTTTTAATTGACTTCAAGAGGTTTTAATGAGTTCAAGCTTATAGGAATTTCATATTTATTTATTCTTACAGACATAATCCATGTTTCCTAATTCACCACAATCCTTTTACTTTTTCTTAGGGTTGAACATCTTAAGACTTTAGCATGTGATACTAGAAGAATAGGCACCAATTTTTGATTTGTTAGTACTTAACTTCCAACTTTTAATACCACTTTTTTTTTCTTTTTTTTTTTATCTACTTTATCAACTTTTTTATTTTTCTTTTGCTAAGTACATCTTAATAATTTTGAATACCTTTTGATTATTCTATTTAAATCAGTGTGTGCTAAGGTCTATGGAATGTTTATTATTCAATAAGTACACA